GTGCTGTCACTATATTCTCCTTCAAGTAGACATTCTTATTTTTTTAAATTTTGTACTTTAATCGAAACCACGTCATTGTTAGTTCACACGCTACCAAACATATTCAAGGGTATTACAAGATGATTTAATCTGATAATGAAAAGAAACATAAAATCTTCCTCACACACTACCAAAGAAAATATCGAGGGTATCGAACAATGACGTGGTTTCGATTAAAGTACAAAATTTAAAAAAATAAGAATGTCTACTTGAAGGAGAATATAGTGACAGCACAGTATGCACATCAATTGATGTTGTATCAATCAAAATCTTACTAGCTGTACATGCTTCTATATATATTTGTTGAAAGAATTGATGTCAAAATTCTAATGGAAAATGGGCAATAAAATGCCCACCAAAAAAAAAATTATGTCGTAATTTCATAAGAATCTCGACAATTGTAGAAATTCGACAATGTTGTCCAATTCTACTAGAATTTAGAAACATGTCCATTCTACTACAATTTGGACATTGTCGAAATTCAGATGGCTAAATTCACCGGTATGAGGGCGGGACAGTGATAAAACCAGATGGTTTATAATTTACGAGTAAATGAAAAAGCCGATAATTCAAGACATATCACAAAAGAGCGTGGTACTTTTTAGAGGTCCTAAGAAGAGGTGGTGGTAAACTTAAGAGATTCTAAGAGTTGGATAGAATTCAAAGTAAGTTACCGGATCGATCACCAGGCATTTGGGCACCGACATTTGGGCTCGCGCGACGTTTGGGCGCAACGACATTTGGGCGCGCGACAGTTAGGCGCAACGACATTTGGGCGCAAGTCTATTCTTTCACTATCTGATCGACCATGTAGAAACTCTTATCATTGTAGAAAAGAATTTTCTTGGTTTGCTTTGGGAATATTGTAGACGGTTCATAATGAATTAAGTTATACATGCGGAGAGTAATGGAACTAACTAATCAGTCATTAACAAAAAGTGAATTTTTTTGGCAAGTATAGAAGAAACCTGTAGGATAATAAGTGTAGCAAGAGTGAGGGTGCTGTATAACTCAGAAGTAGGTGCCGTGTGGAGTGTAGGGCACTTTGCAGCTTACTGTAAATGAGAATAATGGGTCCGTTTTTACACAAAATCCTCGTCCACATTACAAGCCCAGTGGGCTTCTATTATGTCCCGCAAGAAAGGCAAAATTTTCTCAAAAAGTACTCTATAGGGGCAGGGGCAATTTTCAAAAAAATTTCTTGCCAGACTGGGCTTGTAATGCGGGTGGGCTTCTATTATGGGGTGGGCTTCTAATGTCAGAGGGGTTAGAAATGAGTCAAACTCAACATTCTCGGTCCAGCTCCATCCGGTAAATATGAAAATTGTTTAGTATACACATTTTGGCGTGGTCTATCGAATGACAGCAGATTCAAAGATTTATCTCAAAAACTGGAAATTTTAAGATTTGATCTAGTTGAATGATCGTTTTAAACGATGAAACTCCTGTGTGAGAAGTGAAGTGAGGTAAAATTTAATATTGGAACATTTAGGACACTTTGAAGCCTATATTTCCACATTTTTTTCGGTTGCAAAACCTGCAGTTTTTGAGACTACGCCGAGATGTATATACAAAAGTTTTTCATCGCTTCCAGACGAGCTTTGACGAAGAGCTTTAATTCCACTTTGCCGAGCCATTTTTGGTGCAAAAAGTAGTATGAAAAACCCTTGAACGCGATTTCACTTCAGTAAAGCATTTTGGAAGAAAAGTCGTTCAGCAACAAATTCTACATAGGATGAACGAGGGAAGTTCTGAATAAGAAAACGTGAATTCAATATTGTTCACATATACGGACTTTCTACTTTCCTACTTCTTCTCTACCCTCTTTGCTCTTTTCCTAACTTTCTACTTTCCTGCTTTCCAAACTTTCTACTTTGCTACTTCCTGTTTTCCATCTTTACGGACTTTCTACTTTCCTACTTCCGGTCTTCCTTCTTTGTCCCTTTCCTAAGTTTCTACTTTGCTGCTTTCCTGACTTTCTACTTTCCTACTTCCTGTTTTCCATCTTTACGGACTTTCTATTTCTTACTTCCTATCTTCCTTCTTTCCTCCTTTTCTAACTTTCTATTTTCCTGCTTTCCTGAGTTTCTACTTTCCTACTTCCTGTTTTCCATCTTTACGGACTTTCTACTTTCTTACTTCCTATCTTCCTTCTTTCCTCCTTTCCTAACTTTCTACTTTCCTCCTTTCCTGACTTTCTACTTTGTTACTTCCTGTTTTCCTTCTTAACGGACTTTCTACTTTGCTACTTCCTGTTTTACTTCTTTGCTCCTTTCCTAACTTTCTACTTTCCTGCTTTCCTGAGTTTCTACTTTCCTACGTCCGGTCTTGATTCTTTGCTCCTTTCCTAACTTTCTAGTTTCCTGTTTTCCTAAGTTTCTACGTTCCTCCTTTCCTGACTTTTTCCTTTCTTACTCTTCTGTTTTCGTCCATTTCTGCTTTCCTAACTCTCCACTTTCCTGCTTTCCACTTTAAGCTTTCCGCTTTCTACCTTCCTGACTTTCTACTTTCCTACTTCCTGTTCTCCTTCTTTGCTCCTTTCCTAACTTTCTACTTTCCTAACTCTATACTTTCCTGCTTTCCTGACTTTCTACTTTCCTGCCTTCCTGTTTTCCTAACATTCTACGTTTCTCCTTTCCTAACTTTCTGCTTTCCTGACTTTCTATACCACCAATACATAAAATTTTGGCGCATATGTCGAAACCTATCTCATTCGAAAGCCTGTCGAATTCTGGCCCAGGAGAAGCAATTTTTAATTTCTTAAAACGTTGCGAACCTCCGGGAGGTGGACGAAAACTTGGCCGATGGCTTATATTCGACAGTATTTTTCTCAGCCGAAACAGAAGCTATCAAGCTGGAATTTTTACCATATATAGACAACTGATAGTTGAGTCGAATGACGAAAGAATTAGGTGGCTATCACTTTTACTTTGCGAACGGCAGCAATTTCAAATCTAAAAAAAATGCAAAATTGGTCATTTTCCATTGCGTTTTTCGACCTCAACCAAATTCGTTATCACAATTCTAAGTAGTGCGTTGGATTTAGCGTTGTTCACTCTATCAAACGCTATGGTTTTGAAATTTTTAGCGCGTTTTTTGGAAGCAAAAAAGTGCTCTCTTTATAGCCTGATAGTCTATTTTTGACGTTTTTTGGCTGCCCCCAACGCGATCCCCGAGGCCTTTTCCATACTTTCAGCTGTTCTGATTGGGATATTCGGATTCAGCACACTTGATTCTATATGAATCTGTGTAAAACCCAATATGTCTTGCCTACTTTCCGAGTTATGGCTATTTTAATTTTAGCAACTTGCCGTTTTCAAACGGCCAGGTGATAACTGAATAACATTCACATTTCTTGGCCTACAGTGCTAAAAATTATACTTTATAGGTAACTTTTAACGGTGAATCCAATGCACAGCTCAGAGAAATGTTTAGACACATGCCGCAGCAATTCTAGCGGGTTTTCGTCTTAGCATGCGTTTTTCACAAATAATCGCAGCCATTTCATCTATAACTATATGCATTCTACTCGTGATAGCACCCAAGGAAGTTTGGCAAAAGCTTCGGATGGATTATTCTGCGCTGTTTATCCTCCCTATGGTGAATGATGGCTTGTTCGATTATTCCTCCGTTTTTCGCTTTTTTTTTTTATTTTAAAGAAGGACGAGGTGTTCTCTTTCCATCGGCTTTACTGCTCCTGGTAGCTTTTAATACGTAGCTATACATTTTATTTTTGTGCATCTGGTATTAATCTAACCGTGGATGGAGAAACGAAGGAAAGGGGAAAAATGGAAGAAGCGATAACGTATTCGTTGAGTGGAAAGACAAACCTGTATATAGCGAACTAATTTTCAGTGTATCCTCTTTCTCACACTGGCATGTACTGTGCCTAAAGCCTGCAAAGCAGAATGACGGTTAATTGACGAAAGCTAGTTTCAAAATTACGAGTGAGACACTTTTTCTGCATCGTTTTCGGTATACGCCCACTTGCCCGCAGGACACTTGCCCGCCGGACAGATGCCCGCGAGACATTTGCCTGTTTGGCAGTTGCCCGCGGCGAACGCTTGCCCGCGGAACATTTGCTCGCCGGACAATTGCCCACCACCATTAAAAACGGACAGTTGCCCGTAAATAATACTTGCCCGCAAATTGCCTTGCAAAGAAATGTTTTTTCAACATTACATTCAACATTTTATTATTTTAACATCCCAGTCATACATATATGTACATCTTATTAGAAGTCGAATGCAAAAATGAATACATACAACAGCATGGTTCATGGACACATGAACTGTAAAGTTCTATTATTCTATAGTAAAGAAAAATTCTATAGTAAATTCTATAGTATAGAAAAATAAGTTAGGCTGACTGGAGTGAAATATTATTGGCTAGTGCAAGTACTTTATCCAAATTTGTTGTCGACTGTTCATCCAAAATGTTCATGATTCTTTTTTTTTGACGCTCTGTCACCAAACGTTTCGGTCGTCGAACTCCGGTTTCGGCTTGGATTAATTCGGCTTCGACCATCGACTGTTCTTTTTTCAGCAGTCGCAGAAACTTCCAAATGTTCGAATGTGCACAATCCACTAGTGATGCAAAGCGATTGTTCCATCCTTCGATCACGTTGTTCGTTATGTGACTAACACCGACAGCAACAATGTCGTGCGTCACTTTGTTCGACGTTTTCGCTTCTTGGCTCATCTGTGTTCGTGCATCCATCAATTCTGCTGCTTCGGCTCTCGGTTCATGATTGTGAATGCCAATTGTTTGAGCGACACGATCGTTGAGTGTTTGCAATCGACTTTTGCAATATCCATGTCTTTTTCGCTCACAGCACCAAATTGTTTTATCACCTGATGATCTATCAACGATGTAGACATAGCCATTTTCAACAAAGACAGGTTTTCCTTTTGTCGTGGTCATACTGTAATATGTGATTGACTTGATAGTCTCGAGAATAACAGATGCAGAAACAGTCGATGATTATGATGATCGATTGGGTAATAGACGCAATTTATAGCAGAAAATAAGAGAGAAAAAGAGCATTCTCGAGAGAGAAAACAGAAAAATTCGAACTTATGGACAGCTATTGCTTATCGTCTGTTTGGTATACGTCCGACAACGTACCTTAGTACAGTCAGATTACTGCAGCTATTTAATCTCATTGAGCAGAACACACCTAACAAATACTAAACTATGTTTTTAATAAACAGCAAAATTAAAAAGCCTAATTTTTTTAAAATAAAATAAAAATAATAAATTAAAAAAATTTAATAATCTAAACATTTAAATGAAAAATTAAAAGTATAAAGAAAAACAAAATAAACACTTAAAAAGAAAATTATGATAAACATACTTCAACCATTTAAATACAAAAATAAATCAATCAGATATAATAAAAACAAATTTATCATTATTAACTAACAATATAAAATTAATATTTTCAATTAAAAATCTCATCTAAAAATTAATTAGTTAAATATTTTATTTTCTACGTCCAACCATTATACAAAAAGTAAAAACTAAACTCTATAATATAAACCATTATAAATACAAATTATACAAAATATATCAAACCAAAATAACATATAATCTTATGACTTACAATCATACATTTTAAACTTTTATATTAATCTAAACACTTTTAAATGAAAATTAAACACAATTATGCTTTTAGATTAAACATAAATCTTACTTAATTCACTAGAAGCATGAAAAGACAAAAGAGTATTCAAATTTCATTCCTGATCTCAATAACCCCTTAGATTTATCATAACAACACGCTTCTCAACAAAAGCTACCCAAATAATAAAAAGAATATACACTATAGACAGAAAAGAAATAAAAGCACCTTAAGAAGAAACCACATTCCAAAATAACATACTATCAGCATAATCCCTATAACGTCGAGGCATCCCAACCAACCCTAAAAAATGTTGAGAAAAAAAAGTCAAATTAACAGCAAAAAATATAACGACAAACTGAACTAACAAATACTTAGAATTTATAACTAAACCAGTAAACAAAGGAAATCAATAAAAAAAACCAGCTAAAATACTAAAAACAGCACCTATTCTTAAAGCATAATGAAGATGAGCAACAACATAATAACCACTAGGATCAAAAAAACAAGTACCAAAGTTACGATCAAATAATAACATGGTAATCCCACCAGCCAAAACAGGAAGACTAAGAACTAACAAAAATCTAGTTACCACTATAGCCCAAGTAAAAAGATTTATATGCTCAAAACTAATAAAAAATCTCACTTTACTCTTAAAACAAGTAGTAATAAAATTAATACCACCTAAAATAAAAACACCAGCAATATGTAAACTAAAAATAGCCATATCAACAGACCTACCAAAATGATAAACTGAATTAGACAAGGGAGGATAGACTGTCCAACCAGTTTCAGCTCCTAAACTAAATAACAACCTTATAATTATAAATATCAAAGCCACAGGAACTAATCAAAAACTCAAATTATTTAAACGAGGAAAAGCCATATCCAAAGAATTTAATATTAAAGGAAGTAGTCAATTTCCAAACCCTCCTACAGCAACCGGTATAATGAAAAAGAAAATTATTAAAAAAGCATGAGCAGTAACCATTGCATTATATAGATGCTCATCTAGAATTAAACCTCCAATTACCCTTAACTCAGTACGAATAACTAAACTCAAACTAGCACCTAAAATCCCAGCCCAAATACCAATAATAAAATTTAAAGTACCAATATCCTTATGATTAGTAGAATAAAGTCAACGAAACATAAATACTATTAAAAATCAGAGATAAAAATATAAAAAATAACAAAACTAAAAATAAAGACTTCCTAAAATAACTAAGATCATAAATAAAAATAAACCTAAAGTAATATACTAACAACAGAACATCAAAAAATATAAGAAAAAAACCCATCTTAACACTGAATAAACCTACTACCACTATATATTTATACATAAACAAGAAAAAAGGTGGAACAACTATAAATAAAACTATCACTAAATAAAAATAATCATCACTCTTAGTAAAAAAAAATATCTAATTAAAACAAAAGTAATAATTATATATAATATCAACAAAGATCAATAATTTACAGTACATATCCTTACTAAAATTAAACCAGTATTACTAATTGAAGAATAAACCATTAACAATCACAAATCATACACCAAAAGTAAACCAATAAAAGAAACCAAAATACTAAAAATCCTAAACAAAAAAACATAAAAAGAATTGAACAAATATAATAACCACAAAAGTCAAAAATTAATCACCTTTTGAAAAATCAAGATATAAAAATTCATAAAAAAAGTTATCTCAACAGTAATAACAACAACCCAATAATGAAAAGAAGCTAACCATAATTTAACCATTATAAGAATAAAAGAAAAAGAAAAATAACTTCCATAAACAGTTAAAAAAAGAAAAGAAAATACTGCTTGAATAAAAAAATATATAATTAAACTATAATATTTACTATCATTTAAAACCAAAAATAATAATATTAAAAACAACATAAATTCGTTAATTAACCATACATAAAAAACATTAGAAGTTATTAAACTCAAAAATAGCAAAATCATATAAACATTATTCACTTAAAATTAAATCTATTAAGTAACAATTAATAATTATAATAACTTAATTTTAAAGAAAATTTAATTAATTGATTAGAAATCAAATTTTATTTTCTTATCATATCTACCACTAAAAAAAACCAATAATCCTTTAAAAAACTATAAAAATAAAAAAAAAAACAAAGTCAATTTTAAAAAATTAACTAAAATCTATAAAAACCCCAAAAAATTAAAACTAAATTCAACAATTTATAAATTATTTTTCTCAACAAAATTCATTTTTCAAAAATCGAGATTATATTCCAAATTTTTTTTCTAAAACCCTTCTATTGTAATTTTACATTTAATAAATTTATTTCCTGTATACTTATAATATAATTCTATTAACCTTTCTACTTATATATATAATATATATAAATCTAAATAAAAAAATTTTTTAGATCTTAATCTTCCCAACAATATTCTATACAAGTTAATAGGAACCTTGAAGATAATAATAATAATAAGCACTAAGAAAAATTATAGATCAAAATGTTAGATACATAATGCAACCATGATAATGAACCGAAATATTTTCCTTTAATTTTATTATGAACACTGTCAAATGGATAACTACAGTAAAATGAAAAAATATCTATATCCTGAACTGAAAATACATGTGTATGTATAGTGGAAAGAAGAGAGAGCATAAGAGAAATTTAGTATGAACAAACAAAGACAGAATACGTAGAAGAATAAGAGAACAATGATAAAACAGCCTGGATAAGGAAAGTACAAAGCCATCTATG